TTCTGCCGTAGCCGTTTCGCGTTCACATCGGTTACGGAATGCAGCGACCAGTGTAGCAACGGTATCGCTCCAAACGGGCAGCATGTATGACTGACGTTCGGCGCCCATGTAGCGTTAGCATCGTACAGCGTGCGGACCGGCGTGGCGACAGCGACTTGTCGGCGTTAGCATCTTATGTGTGGACCAGCGTGACGACAGCATGGGAATCGAGCAGCATTTCCACCAGAGATTTCGGTGGTGTCAGGCAGCGTGCAATGGTAGTGACATCGGTCAGTGTCAGGCGGCCGGGTGGTTTAGCAAGAGATGGTGGGGGCAGTCGGTATGAACCCGAGTGATCACAAGAAAGGAATTTGCGGATTGAGACTCGTTGGGGCTTGCGGCGCGCTCGACGCCCCCCGCACGCGAGTTGGATCCGTTGACCTTCCAAAGCGGCTTGTTTCGCGCCAAAACATTGCGAGCTTCAATGTTGAAGTCCACGTTTTCGCCGGTGTCCTCGGTTTGACCCAATCAAATAGCATTCCGATGATTCTAGCAGTCTGATTGGCTAGCAAAGTGATCTTTAATATACGCGTATGGCTACCTATTTCGATTATGGGTAGTACCTATTTTTGCTAAGAGGACCAATTACCTTGCAGTAGTTATACCCGACAGCGTATGCTCCTTTGTCGGGTCCGTTTTGACGTAGAAAAGCGTACCTGAGGAAATGTAAGCCAGTAGTTCTGTGGCTGTGCGCTTCAAGACCACATCCTCAAAAAAGGTAATCCTAACTTTGATCCTGGAGGTAGTAGTTAGATCTCTACCACAGCATGTCGTTCGCCAATTTGTGTAGTATTATGCTCTGGGTTTTACAATGACATCAGAAATAGTTTTTAGGCATCGTTTGCTACAATTGCTCATTATGTACTTTGGTTTAATTGCTAAATGGTTAAACTTGTTTTTATCCATTATTTCTCGTCGTCATGTGTTTTATAGCCAGGAGTTCTCGAAAACTACAAGAAGAATTGCTAATGCAAACGTTGATTTTTGAAAATTGAAGCAGCGACTGAGACTTCATTTATTTCATGAACTCAGATGCACTTAGAGGATTCTCGACAAGCTGCTTACCGTAAATCAACGACTACGTCAATGTCGACGTTGTATCCGCAATGATGTCACCCATAGCGGCAGCATTCGTAGTAGCTACAGCAGGCATCATCAGAGCTGAAACGGGGGCAGGAGCAGCGACTGGGACAGCAACTGAGAAGGAATAGCTGCAGGAAGTGATGCACGCAACAGAACCACCACGTGACCTGCCAATGCAACCCTTGTTACCACTTCTCGCAGCCGAAATCATACCCGCAACGTTGGACAGCAAAGCCGGGTTGGTCGCGATACTCTATAGAAGTCCGAAAATGTGCTCGGTCGTCATGGGACTGGTTGAGTTAGCTTCCGTACTCATAGCAATTATGTCCTTAATAATTTGTGCGAGCTGAATACGATCATTCGGTGACAAGAAAAATGTTGCTCCTTGTGACGTAGATGCTGTTACTGGTGGCAGCCATCATGTTTCTCAGAACCCCGTAAACCAGAGTTCGTGCCTTGATCGGAGTCCATTACGATACGGACGTTAAAGACAGCAAACAGGCCACAACAGCGAGAGCAAATCGACGCTTCCATCGGTGGGCTATACGTCCTGCTCTTCAAACTAGTTTCCGTAGAACTGGAGCCAGAGATGGCGGTGGTGCATCGTGGTCCACCCCACGAATGATACATACATTCGCAACGCTACTTGAACAATTTCCCAGTCTTTAGAGCCGTTCGACTCAAAGTGCCACCAATCGTGCAGTCGTCGCTGGTCTCGCAGAACGCCTTGCCAGCCACTTCCTCCCACTTATTATCATTATCTTCGTACTCGTCGATGTGGGCTTCAATCCATTCTTGAGTCGGATGACTCGCTGGATCACAACCAACTTGCATGAAATTATCAGCGTCGCCAAGTCCTGATACAGACGGATGTGGTCGATCTTCATGTACATCGGGAACGAGTCGCAGATAACGTTCGTCACAGGATCTTTTCCATCACCACGACATTCCTTGCCTGGGTTGGGCGGCGTCGCACACCAAGAACTGGACAGCGACACGTTGAAAATCACATACAAAGGCTCCTATTTCTTCGGGTTGTTCTTTTTCGCATTCTGCAGGACGTTGACGATCGAATCCGTCGTGACTTCGAACAGAGGCTCGCCGTGAAGCATCCAGCGTACATATCCATTCTTGCCTGTAACCCACTCCACTTGGTAGTCGTAGAAACCCGTGTACGCGCCGAAATATAGGCCAATTTCGACGAGATTGCATCAATCTGATAGTTAAATGCACTAATCGCATTGGACTTGGGTGTAGTGGACTCATTGCGAGGACTGGCACACTTGGAGAACATATTGTCAGGATCACACAAGTACGAGCCCATGTACGAGTTGATCAGCGGATAACACGTGCCGTTCGAGTTAATTCCCCAGTGATCTTTCCCTTTGCCGACAATCAGACTCAATTCAGCATTCACATCGCCTGAAGCTGGACATGTATCCACAGCACAAGTGTTCTCGGTAATACCAGCTTTCACTGACGCTGCAAATGTGGCGTAGTCTTGTTTCTCCTCTGCGTTCTGCTTGCAATAGTTGTTGGCAGCGTAGCGTAACCCTTGATACCAGGATTTGTGACCACGTTCCTTCCCGTAATAAGCTGTTGGTACGTCGATATAATTTGCTCCTGGTGTTAAGCAGTGTAGGAGTACAAACAGTAGCTGAAGTCTCCAGTTGACGTATCCACAGGGAAAAGTCGTAGTCGTCTGGCATTCCTGGTGCAATTTGCGGAGAAGATGAAATAGCCAACCCTCCGCCATCCAGAACATCGATCTCAGGAGCTCCACGACCTTGGTTGGGGTTCAAACCGTAGCCTGGATTGTCGTCACACGCACTGATCCGTTGGAAACTCGGGTTAAACACGTCGGCATCGCATTCATCATACGAGTACGGCCATATGCGGTTCGTCGAAGCGGAGAAATAACTCGCCCGAA